GCTGCAAATACCTTCAGCAGTCACCAAACCCAAGTGAAACTAGGGCTGTTTAGTGGAAAAGCTCTGCTTGTTTTTCTAAAAGACTTAGGTCTCACCTTATTAGGATTGCTCTGTGGTAATCTGTCCATATCCCTCTATTGGACAGTTACAGCAGTACTGGACTATCACAGTTCCTTGAAATGCTATTATAGAGTTAACATTTCTTTGTATCCCTTTCACTCAAGGCTAAGTTCTGATCCTTTCAGATTTTGACAGAATCCAATGCCAGATGTGTCCATTCTGAACACTCAAGTCAAACTTTATCCTAAGATTATTTTATTTTTAGAAGTTCTAGCCTGAATACAGCAATTTGAGACTACGTTAAATGCCTTTTTCTGTTTTCATTATGCACTAGATAAAAGTTTATTCCTTAACCATAATATCAAAAAAAAAAAAGAAAAAAAAAAAAAGGAAAAACAAGTTGACATTCTTGTGCAATTACAGGACTCTGGGGACTGGAGCTGTAAAAATAAAATATGACAAGACTTAAAATATAATCCCATGTTTTTTGCAGTGGTATTTCCCGTATGATAATTTCTGCCTGGATCCTTAAAACAGCTATGCTGATTTCTTTTGTATAAAGCAGCTTCTTCAGAATGATTCTTTAATGCCTCTTTTTTTTTTTTTTTCAGAAAAATATGAAGAAATCAGTGCAGTCTGTTTGAGCTATAAGTAATTAAAAATAGCAATATAAACAGATAATTGTTAAATCATTTTTTCCCTTGGTGCAGTTACAAGCTGGGCTCTGGTATTAGTTTGCCTTTAAATTTTACTCAGAAAAAATACTTTACATTATTACAGGAAGTGAGGATTAGAAGACTTCCTAAATTCATTATTGTCACTATTTATTTTTGGAGCTATACTTAATGTTTGATTCTGTAACATTTCTTATTAATTAAAAAAAAAAAACTCTTGAAAGTAAAACCTGAAAATAAAACCTTTTCTGAAAGAGGAATCCTTCTTAAGACCTATCATGAACCTTGTTTAAAATATAAACTGGTACATAATCAGATTAATCAGTTTTAAGGAGAATGAAGGGTTCCACTGATCTGACAAATGCTTTATAAAGTACCTTCAAAGATGGGGAAAATTGGCCCCCCAAAATTGGTCCTAATCGTCCTTAAAAGAGGAGAGGCCAAAGCCAAAGTGAAATGGGAGAAAGCTTCTGCCTTTGGAGCTGGGAGAGACACTAGGAGAGCAGCAGAGGGGCCCAGAACTTGGACGGGAACAGAGCTTGGATTGGATTGGAACTCTTGGAACAGAGTCCAGGGCACCTGAGGTCAGGTTGGAAAGGAGGTGGGGGTACCTGGACTCTCCTAAGCTTTATGTTTTAGGAAGAAGTGGTAGTTTACAGAGAATGAAAGCTTTATGTGGGTCTTAAAGATGAAAAGATCCACAGGAAAAGGAAATTTGTGGAAATGTAGGAAAACAGTGGACAACATACTCTCATATCTTTTAGGCCTTTCTGTATGTAAGAAACTGATTCAAATTGTGATTTCCATTGCTAGAAATGTTCATATATCTGTGTTTCTGCATGCCTGGCATGTTTTGTCCTTATAACTTCGTGGGGCTCCTTTTTGAGAAATGGTCCTGGTATCTTCCCTCCTTTTCCTCTTTCTTTGTGTTTTACTCAGTTATTCCTACTATAAACCTGAAGATATTCTTCCTGGGTGTCTAATAGAGGCTTTAGGTATGTTTGCCACTGCCCTCCTCCCCATCTCAGGGGGGTTTCTGCAGGGGTTGTCCCTGATTTTTGTTTGTCATGTTTTTGTTTTTTTTATCTTTTTTATCTTTTCCTTCCTTGGATCCTGGAGACTCCCAGGGTATGATCAGAGCTATATCTTTTATACTGCCCTGGAAAGAAAATATGTTTAGATTTTCCTTCATTTACTGCTTCAGATTCTTTTGTATATCAGTAGGAGAAATTTTAAAAAGATATTCTCCCTTTCATAGAGTACATAAATAACCTTTGAGCAGCTTCAATGGGAGAGAAACGTAAAACTTAAAAAGGAGGTGCAGTTCTTGAATGCTGTACCAATTCTGTTTAAGTTAGCAGAAAATTTTGACTTGTAAAGTGAGAATTCACCCAATTCACATTTCTAATTTTATCTTTCTGTTTGCCTCCCTCTAAATGTTGTGGATGTGCAACAAAGATATAAATGGCATCCAAGAAATCCGCCTGCACTGCTGCCAGTTTTCTGGCGCCAAACACAAGCTGTGTTGTGATATGAGTAAAACTTATCATGTGGGAAATGAACCTAAAATGACATTTATATGCTTAGCTTACAGGAGAGAAATGCAGAGGCACAAAGTCACTCAAGTGGCACAAAATCAGTTTGTGTTTTGCAGACTGAATTCCTTAAAGACAAGTCTCATTAGAAGCTGCTGCTGCCAAATGCTGTTTGTTTTCACCTTCAAAACTGTCTGTGTTAATAATGAGCAAGGGTGGGAGGGAGAGCCTGGTGTGTGCTAGGCAGCAAATGAATTTAAGAAGAGCCCCATGTACATTGTTGAAAAATGTTGGTAGAGTTTTAAGATGATGAGCTAATGTAGCACATTCTAGATGAAGTCTAGCTCTGTAGGACTTGACAGCAAGGAGGATTTATTTCTGCTTAGTTAGCTAAATGTACCTTGCAAGTCTGAATAGTGCTGTTTGAATACCACAATCAGTACTTTGGTTTCTCTGTTTTGTATTTAATGATGTTCCAGCCCCATAAATTCCAAACTTCATGTGAAAGACAGATTCCTCTGGGAGTCAGCTAACCTACTCTTCCTAACTTGTTATTTTTGCCTAGATAGCTTTTACTTTATAATAACTCTCCATTTCTCTGGGAATGTTACTATCAGCAACTGGTATATTCCCCATACATTGAAACCTTCAGTGATATGACACTTACATAGTATAATGAGAATCTGTAGAAATTTTCCCAGAATATTATTCAAGTGTGGTTTCAAGCATATAATGAAAACCTCATTTCTGTGGTTACTGTAGAAATAGCTAATGTAACTTTTCTTTAAACTTCATTGTAATTTTTCAGAGTAACTCAAGTGAACAGATAAGATTCACAGATTCACAGAATATTTAAGGTTGGAAGGGACCTCTACAGATCATCTAGTCCAACCTTCCTGCTCAAGCAGGCACACCTAGAGCATGTGGCACAGGGTGGCATCCAGGCGGGTTTTGAATAATAAGATAATCTAGAATTATCAGCTAACTTTAACCCGATGTGTACAATGAGGAAGGACTGCTGGACAAATATTTACCAGATTACAATCTTCATCTAGCTGCAGAAACAAATATTCTGTACTATCCTTTTGAGGCTACCTACACACATGCATGTCTTATTAAGATCTTTAGTGATAGGAAAGCTTTAGTGGTTCTTTTGGCAATCAAATTTCTAGCAAAAAAAAAAAAAAAGGCCTTTTGTCTTTTCCATGTTGAACTTTTTATAAAGCATTACCTCACTGTCATTCATTCCCTGCTGCTTTTCCACTCCACTTCTTTCATAAACAGCCAGTTGTCCTACATGAACGAGTAGCCCCCTTAGACAATCTATGCATCTTGTTTTCTGCCCATCAAAGATGGAAACAAACTGCCATGCTAACACTGCCTTTGCATATTAGATCACATTTATTCTTTCTCAGACTTATTTAATTTCCCTTAAAAATAGGTATTATTGTAAAATACAGACATCGCATTTCATAACTTAAACCTAAAAAGATGATCATCAGATTAATTCTATGATTTTATCAAAAGGACTGCGATAAAACAGCAGCAGCCAGTAATCATAACCGAATTGAAAAATGTTTTATTCAAGTGCATATCTAAACCAGTACCTAAGGGTAAAATCAAAGTGATTTAGAAATATAAATATGATGCAATATTGAAATATGAATTTTTTTTTCCTGTTCCATAAAACTAAAACCTAATGAAGGGAGATAAAGCCCACTTGCATTGTTGGATTATTGGTTCAAATTAATGAAATCATAGTAAGAAAATGTATTTAATATTAAATCATTTAATGTTTTAATAAGCTAATTCTCTTGACAAATGAATGTACTTGAATTCCTTTGAATACTATAGAAAAAGCCCTCTGAGGTGTTTATGTTTATTTAGAGGCAGAATACAAAGGAGATGCTTATGAATGCATAGAACACAAATTTTGACAAAATTTATTATTGATATTTAGGCTCATTTCGTAAACAATCTTAAACCGTCTGTTGCATGACTTCTGTATTTCACCTGTTAAAACTGAATTGAAAACAATAGCAATAGGGACATGATTGCAGACATCTGAAACTAAAAAAAAAAAAAAATCCGCTGTGTTTGTGACGATCTATCTATACCATATGCTAGAAATATTTAAGAACTTGTATCTTGACTTGTCTTCCTTCACATTCATTGTTGTTCTCCTAAGTAAAACAACCTAAGCCTACGCTGGCTGTCTCAAGCACTGCACAGAAAGCTTTTGGTGTCTTGGATAGGAAGGCTTTTTGCTCCTATCTGCAAATAGATCTCAGTAGAAATCACCGGCAGTAAAATAGTATTTGCTTCAGTAGGAATGGGCTCCTGCTTGTCATACTAACACCATGCATGTCTCTAGTTGACAAATGGGCACATAATGGCAAAATATATTTGAAAATTATGGCTGTTCTGTAACAGTAAGGATGAGAGCTTGCTCTAGGCCGTATTTTCCTTCTCTCTATTCCAGCTCTTTTTCCTAATTTCACATCTTTTTCCTGCTTCTCTCTACTTCTGCATCATGAAATTGAGCAGGTCCTTCACTTTATGAGGTACAGCACATTTCCTCTTTTTTCTTGTCATGCTTTTCAATATTCTTCCCCTCTAAAATTACAGAGTTGTACGATGACCAGAGTTTTCTTCCATTTTTAAAGAAAAAAAAAACTTTGTTTATGTATTTGTATGGTAAAAAAAAGTGTTTTTTATTGTTTCAGGACACAGCAGGTCAGGAGAGATATAGAACAATTACCACGGCCTATTACCGGGGTGCAATGGGCTTCATTTTAATGTATGACATCACGAACGAAGAATCTTTCAATGCTGTGCAAGATTGGTAAGTTAAATGTGGAATTCATTTTAAATACCATAGAGAATATTTGATATTACTCATCTGCTGTGATAGTGCAAATTATTTTGGAAAACTTGGAAAACATTTTCAAATAGGATTCCTGTGCTCAAATCCTATCTTGTTGTTGAGAAAATGCAATGAATACTTTAAAATGTGTTGCATATACATCACAACCATTATGTTTTCCATTATCTCAATCAGTCGGGGTTATTTATACCACAAATCCAGGAATTTCCTAATTTGTCATCAATTTCCTTTTAATCTTACACTGAGCATTATCGTCTCAGTCTTATGCCTCGCTGTAGAGATGATGAGTCCACTTCATCATAGTAGCAGAACCTATGTTATGTTATGATGCATTTTGTGACTACCAAGATATCAGTGTGTGTCATTTAAATCAGGCATGGGCAAGTCACACACCATGGGCAAGGAACCAAATAGAAGCATTTTAAATAAAGCTGACCCGAAAGGAAAACAAATGTTAATCTTCAGTGGTCTCCTCTTACCTTTTATGAGTTATGTTGCTATCTGATAGTTTCCTAGCAGTGCAGTGAGTGAGGTGAATAGCATTTGCCTTGTGTGCTCCATATGCTCCCTTGCATTCTGTTCCCATGAAAGAACTGTGTTTGAAAGAGGATTGTATTTGGAGACTGGTATTTTGGGGAGTGTTCTTTTTTTGTCTTAACTTATATAATATTGTGTACTTTTTTCAGGGCAGGGCTTTCTTTTCAGATTTGGTTTTACACTTGAAGTAATGTCGTGATAGCTCTTTGTTTCTAAGAGCACAGCTACTCAAATGCAGACTACTCAAGAAAAAGCTCTTTCTTTCACAGTCTCCTACTGTTATGGTAGGTGTTTCACTGAACCCATGGAGCAGCTTCCTCCTCATCATCTGGAGGGTGATTTTGATCTAGATATGCTGAGCCTGCCTCATTCAGCACTCCTGAAAATAAGAATTGAGAAGATGAATTTGATTCTGATGTAGAAAAAATAGGCTGGAACTTGTTTGCCTGGCGTTGCCTGCCTAAATAGTAGGGATGTGCTCATTCAAGTTCCACCTATGGAAAGGGACGACACCAAGGTGTCTGCTCTACGCCTCTGAAATACCTGTATGGCTGATGTGCTCTTGTAAAGCATTTATATTTTCCCTTTTACTAAAGAATTAGTTTAAATGATTGATATAGATTAGACATGTAGTTTCTGGCCGACTGAATTTACCTGAGGAGTCTGCTTAGGACACAAAGTGGAAGACAGGTTTACTCACTGTAACTTGTTATAGCAAGGAGAGATTCTGCCCATTTCACCCAAGTGGGATGAACATACTGAAGGGCTGCTGTTGAGCAGCTGAAAGTGCAGCGCTCTTCTACAGCATTAGACAGAATCTCCTACCTAACAGGAGGCAGTGGCAAATGATATTCATGGTTGTCCTGTGGTGTGAAGTTCACCACAAGCAAGGAGGCAAGCAGCCCACGCAGCCTCCTAGCCAACCCAGTGATGGTGTCTGCAGCACAGCTGCTTCCAGGGCCTGCCCACTCAACGAACCTCTCCTGCTTTGGCTCTGCTCCCCCTTGTCCGTGGTCTGAATCCATTCAGGCACTGGGTTAAATGGACAGTAATGGCTGTCTGGGGACAGATGGACCCTCTTTGCCTCACTCCAGGACAAACTTCCCCTGATACAAAGGTTTCTTCGTATCAAGTGTAAATATGAGTGATTATTATTAATTTCCCTGGTTGTTTGCTTTTCAAGTTCCTGGATACGGTGTGGTAACTAGGCTTCATGCTAATAAAAAAACAAAGAAAATCATGTAAAATGAAACAAAATATTTAGAAGTAATGTTTTTTAAAAAGCTATAGGTTTGTAAATTAGGATTTTTTCATCATTTTTCACTAGCTTCTGTACAAATAGTTGGCAGCCACCATAGACATTTGGTGGACACGGGGACTGCGTGATTATACACCCATGATGAACTTCTCAAGATGAGACAGGTTTTATTTTTATTTTTGTTTTTTTTTTTTTGAGAACCCTGTGGCTGCCTTGTTGTTCATCATCTCTGCTTTATTCATCCCATCTCACAGCGGATAACTGTGATTAGTAAATACTCCAGTTTTGGTAGTGACCATAAACCTAGAGCTTGCTTCTGAATGTGAGGGAAGTTAAAGAAAACTGCCGCTTATCAAAGCTGCAGAAGAGCAAGTTTGTCTGCATGTTATTTTATGTGTGTTTGTGGAAGATATTAGAGGGGCAGAGGGGGAGTGAGAGATTTTAAGCCTTTCCAGCTTGCCGTGCTTTTCCTTCTGATAAATGTGCCTCTGAAGGCAGCAGTGCCATTTCCTTCATGTGCACAATGGGCCAAATCCACACTCAAATCGTATCAGCCTCTAGGCTTGATTTAGAAATGTCACTGCAGTCACCATAATGAATCTGCAAGTGCCTTTTAGCTTTGAGTAAGTGACTTCAGTTAAAAATGGGTGTTGAGATGATTCTTTAAAGGCAATTTGTTCAAAGCTTCTGTACTCACACTGAAAGGTGCTTTTTCATTTGAAGTCTGGTTGAAATTGCTCCTTTCTAACCACAGCTGGATAGTCTTATTTCCAAGTTTGCAGTGCCTAAGTTAGCATGAATATGCAATTGATGTTATATCTCATGTGACTAGTAACATTTTACATATAAAAAAACAGTATTTGTATTTTCATTTAAAACTATTACTATTAGTATATGAAACAATACATTAGCCTTGCAAATACTCTGTGGCCACTCTGTAAGACTGGAAAAGTGTTGGGTCTGACTTGAATAAATGACTTGGATGTGGAATAAATTTCAGCTAGAAAACAGACACTTCAGGAAACATTCGTATGTCCTTTCCTAAGTGAAACCATGCAGAAATACTTGAAGCTTATACACAATAGTAACAATAAAAGTTGCAAAATAAAAAGAGATTTTTTTTTATGGTGACAACATGGAGACCAATTTATTTTTGTGTGTTAATTTTAGGGAATATTATTAATCTTCTAGCTAGTTCTTCTCAAGAAGGATCAATCACCCCCTTGTACCACTGCCAATATTCTGCAAGTATTCTTCTCTAATCAGAGTGCATTTTTACATAGTATTTTCAGTTCTTTAGAGAATTCTAAAACTAAATGAAAACAGTAACTGAGGCTAAGCATTGTCCTGCTCTAGATTTCAGAAGCATTTTGAATCTGATCTGTGTCATTAACAGTTTTTTGTTACTTAATACCTGTGAAATATTCAGAGTAGTTCATACCCAAGACAGTAGAAACTTTCAGTGCCTGCACAGCCTTTTGCACAATGGAAGAGCTAGAGTACATTATTTACAATATTGAAATATCAAACTAATAATATAGGCTTGACAAAATGTGGAAAGAGAACTTGTCTTTCTCAGATACGAAGGATCATTATTAAGAGTATTCCTATGACTCAGGCAGGGAGAGACATTTTTTTCTTTCCTTAGGCTTCAGCTGGTGCAAAGTCGAAATTAGGTTAGGCGTGCAAGCGTGCAGGTTAGGTGTGCAATCTGTGTTCACGTCGCTTTTCCCAGCCAGCCTGACCAAGCCAGTGCTGCTGGCAAGGCAACAATGCGAAGTCACTCTGAATGGGTTTCCTGTAAAGCAAACACCAGAGGCAGTAGTCACAGCATTGAACAATATTCTCTGCAGTTGCAGCCTTTCAGAGCTCTCAGGGACTAACAGTTTCTGCTTTTATTCGGTAAGAGTGGGTGTGTGCTGCAGACCGGCTGCTAGCAGGAACAGCAAAGCAGGCGAGCTTTGACTCAGCAGCTCTCGTGGAGCTCTGCCCAGACCTTGAAGCTGCCTTTTCTGCCGGGTTATTCCCTTCAGAAGTGCAGCTAACCAGGCAAGTGCAAGGAGCCAAACTTGCAGGGCTTTGGGCCGTAGTAGTCATGCTGAACTAAAAAGATGCAGTTTTTTAGGAAGGGATGTATTTCCTATGAATAAGAACCTCGTGGTGGGCATTTAGTCCAGCCTAGCTGAAGGCTAAGGAGGACTAGAGCCTGAATTAGAAATAGAGAATAAAAGAAACAGAAAATAACAATCCACAGGTTTGAAGCAATTAGTCTAGTGGAATTTGATTTCCTTTAACACATTCCTTCTTGTTAAATCCAAATTGGAATCAGTGCATGTTCAACACCACCTCAATGCACATTTTTTTATGAGTTCAGTCATAATGCCACAGTGGTTGCATTCATTCCTTTTTTTATGCTGCCACCTATAGCTGTGCTTTTTTTAGAGTTTCTTTCCTCCTTATGTGTTAGCTGATGTTTATCCTTATGATAGAGAGGCGAGGTGAAGGCTTTATTCTGTCTTTGCAAATGCTCCCATTGCTATAGAAGTGCCAGGAAAATAACTGTCTCTGAGGTGAAGTTAAAACTATTTTTATAAATATGACTTTTCTAGGATTCTGTTGATTGGTTTGGAGGAGGGAGAGTTTTTTATACCCGTGATATTTTTAGTGCAGTGTCCCCAGCTGTGTCAGAAAAAGCAGGAATGAAAACCATAATCTAAAAGGGTCAAGTTTTGTTCTCTGAAATACAGCTTCCTTGATTTGAAACTTTGTGATATCCAGAAGCTAGACAGGGACGAAGAGCGTACTATGTAAAGCATTTTACACCAAATTTAAAGTTGCACCACTGTACCTGAACCTGTTGTCATTAACTTCAAGTGTTTATCCATCAGTATAACTATATGGTGATCAAGTAAGTTCTAAAAGCGCTACTGTGGAGGGCTTCCTACACTGTGCAGGGATTCATAATTGCAGAATTCCTCATTGGTGAAGTCAACAACCCTGAATGTCTCTCAAGAGGCACATGAAGTTGTGTGAGGGAGCCTGAGATGCTCTGTGGTATTGAAATTGCCAGAAGATCTCTCTTGTGGGTCTGTCAGAGTGCACAAGAAATGGTTCATCCCGCTTCTCTTCTAAGAACAACAAGTTCAGAGGGTCTTCCATGAAA